TTCTGCTCCCACGGGGGGAGGGGTCGTCTTATACGCCGAGGTTAGTTTAGGGATCGCTAATTGTACTATGGCTCCGAGCTCCTGTTGTGCCCCTTACCTCCGCCACAATCTATATTTTAACTGGAGAAGTCAGGGGGTCGTCTTATACGCCGGAAAATACGGTACTTACCGAAACTCATCTACTCTTTGCGCCTGCAATTGCTGCTTCCGGAGGCAAAGTAGACAAACACTTCAGTTAACGTCGTTTCAAGGAATGTTGCACCTCAAAAAGTGCCAGTATTTCAGCGCCCTCTACATGCACCTTAACCGAGCGCGAATGAACATGATCCTCACGTCAAGCTGCACTGGAAGAGAGCCGCCTCAGCAACCGGATTCGCCCACAAATGCAACACTTCAGTGCACAATCACTGCGCCAACCACACTCCAGCCTCACGGTGCACCAATCGGTGAACGACATTCAACCCTTCAGCCGGTGTTTGAGCATGTCTTCACTGCACTCATGGCCTATTTCCTACAGTAGCTATGCCAACGTGTGATCACATGCCTTCGCAACACAATCAGGCGTAGACAGAGGCAGTGGTAACGCGGTCGGTGACGTATTTGAGACCGTAAGCCCTGCTCTGGTCGGTCGATGTTTGCCGAGTGGCCAGGCCAGAAACGGAGAATAGCTCAGTCACCGAGGCAACTCTACAAGACCGGCTGACATGGAAATGGCTGGGCGGGATCAATGCAAAATTGTGTAGATTACGCCCAGCAGAGGTAGAAGCATGTTTTCTCTGTTCTCCAACATGCACTTGAGTCGATATCGTTGCTACTGTCCAAAGCAATTGGGGAATCAATGGGTCGGTGTCAAGGCAATCTGTACTTTCAACCAGTTAAGCTGGTATATGCGGTGCTTTGGGTCGAGCGCATTTCGAAAAGGTCTGACCAATGTCCACGAACACAAGCAGATGCATAGAAAAATGAATATTCATCAGATAAATGGATTGGAACGACTTTGTGCCTCAAATTTGTTTGAAAATGAATGGAAAAGTCATTATGTTCTTGACTCTTTCTCGTTTATGACATATTTTTGATGTAAGCGATTAAAGGTAGGAGATAGGAAGACCAAGATGTTGTGGCCTCTGGTATGGCTGCACTTCTATAAGTAGGAGCTTAGTTTCGGAAACTACTTATATGCTAACTAAGTAGTGTTTACGACTTATTAAGTCTAGGTGGACGAAAGTGACTTAAGAACTGATAATATTTGTCAAACCCAATATTTGCAAATTTTTGGTGGAGAATTGATAGCTTTCCGGTTTGGATCAATCACTTTCCAAACTCACATTGTGCTACAGAGTGTCTATGTTGCTCCCAACAAATTTGTGAAAATAAAGATATACAGCTAAAGGAGACTACGACCCTCTTGATGCTCATATATACGATCTAAGGAAGACTAGATGAATCTTTCCAATAAGGTTGCTTTTGATAATCCCATACAAACTAGATGGAATTGCATTTTTGACCTCGAATCAAAAGGTTTAG